GGGGGGGGGGGGGGGGGGTGTTGGAAGTGGAAGTAAATACATGACATGAACATAAATGAAGATGCATATTTACAGTGGAGCAGAAGACTGCCTTTCATATACAGTATCAATGTTTATTGTATATTTGGATCAGTATTAGTTGTTACCGTGGCAACAACTACCCTCCCTAGGATAACCCGCAGTGAGAGGTGGAAAGTGTTTTTAATCAATTTTCATGCATGCACACTGTAAGAAAAGCAACATAAAACACTTGCTTATGCCTCTTCACCACTGTTGCCACAAACCCACATTTTGACATGTCCTTTGCTGGAAGACATAGTTTCATGTTGAGTCAGTGTGTGTATGGACAGTACCTCATATGAACATCTGTGTGTTTGTGTGTGTGTGCCCTGACTCACAACGCCCAGTCACACTTGTGCTTTTGTGAGACATCAAAGCGAGAGATGGAGGGAGAATGAAACAAATGCGGGCTGCCATCCTACTCTGTGTGTACACTTGTGTGTGTGTGTGATACATCTGTGTCGCGGTCTGGAAGTAGGCCATGCCAATGCTATGGGCAGATAGCATCGTCACACATGACTGCAACCCACAGTCAGACTGACAGGTATAAACATATAGCTTTCAGTGGACAAGAAAGACACAGCTTAAGGGCGCAAAAGAGGGAACGTATTAAAGATAAACACACTCAATCAACTCTCGCTGGCAAATCTTTTTTTTATTTACAGCTAAACATTCATTTCGCTCTCCTGTACAATTTGAACTGAAAACACTGATCACTGTTTTAACATCAACAACGCTTAAAGGTGGACGCGATATTGAGCCAAGACCTTATTTCAAACAAAAGCCTGAAATATCTCGTCTATACGAGGCAATAACAGCTACAGTAAGAACTTTTACAGATTATGGTGCTTTTCCACTTTTTTCACTCTCTTTTTCTCTCCCTCTTGTGTGCTTCAACACTCTTCATCTATACTCTTCTTTTGTCTCTCAACAGCAGGAAATGATTCTCCCCTCCTTTTTCTCTTTCCTCTCTGTTTCACTCCTTTTGGGAGGCGATGGCAGGAGTTGGTGTTTCATAAACTCCTTTCTGGTTTTCACATTATATCTGGTCACTGAAAAAATATGCCAAATCTCACTGCAATGTACAGAGTACGGTGTGTTTTGCCAAATGAATAGCTTTTTAAACAATTTATTTTCCCTATTGATTTCTCTGCTGTTATTTTTTCAATTATTGTATTATCTTTTAGTGGGTGAAAAGTCAAAAAACTTCCCAGAGCCCAAGATGATGTCTTTAAATGTCTTGTATTCTCTAACCAAAACCCAAAGTTATTCAATTTACAATAATATATGACAGAGACAATCAGCAAATCCTTTCATTTGAAAAGCTGGAACCAGAGAATATTTGGCATTTTTGCTCTATTTTTGGTTGAAAATGTCCGAAGTAATCAATCTATTATTGAAAAAGCTCGCAGTTTTAGCTCTAAATAAATTACTGTGTGTACAGCATGCACCCTTTGCTTGTCCCTCATTTGGATCAGTATGAGTGTGTGTGTGTGTGTGTGTGTGTGTGTTTGTGTTTGAGTGACACTGAGGTCTTGGGAAAGTGTTGATGACCTCATCACAGCTCGCAACTGCAGTGAAACCTCACCTCTCTGCACCATGACCAGAGAACTAGGACAGCCACACACATAAATGTACACCAACACACATACACACACATAGAGGTCTACAAAACCTAATGTTGTTTGTCATATTATACAAACAGACACATATGCATGTACCTGGCGTCCGAAGGGTCTGGAACATGAGATTCACTGTGTGATTTCTTCACCTGCAAAGAAACCAGAGCAGAGGAAATGTTAACTAAACACACATTACATTACACACATACACTTCATAAGAACCGGTGTTTAGTGTGTCATAAACCAGCCTCATAAACCAGTGTTTATGAATCAGACAAATTATATTAGTATCATGAACTGTTGACAAAATAAATTCCCGGCCTCAGATCTAAATAAGGAAGGAAAAATTCAACGAGAGATAAAAATCAAATGTGATGTATAACAACTGCAACAAGAGGCATTTTACTTTAAATGTTCTGGTTCTTAAAATGCAGAAATCCTAATAAATCAAGAGCCGGTGTCTGTAGTTGTAGCCACCACCGTGACAGAAGTGCTAACTGGCGTCTAAGTGACAGATATTAACTTTCCCTTGTTCACCTGTGACCCTGCTCCATCCGGAGCTCAAGCCCCCTTCTGAACCCTTAAAGAGTTGAAAGGTCATGTGGGGGTCATGTTAGGTCACAGGACTCACTCTTCACCCTTGAAACGGGTCACCGTGGACCCTAAATCGAGTATTGAGTTTTGGGGGACATTTGGCCATGTCAATCACTGGTGAGCTGGAACTTTTCCTTCATCATTGAAAAAAAAAAAAAAAGAATTAAGAAAACACACAGCCTCAGCGCCTTTCCACCGCAGCACACACAGGCTGGTTTTATGCGTGTTGCTGTGTGTGAGGGTATGCGGAGCTGGACGGCAGACCAGCGGTTCTCTATTAAAATTCCTCTCTCTTATTTGGAACAGGAACTAATTAGAACAGTAAATGCAGGGCGGAGCGAGGGCCAATGTGTACCAGCTGCCCTATAATCACTGTGTCAACACACTGTCGAGGTGTAGGGCACGCGCGAGGTGCCAAACACACACACACACACCCGCACGTGGAAATGCACACACACAGATGCACAAATTCACCTAGGCAGCATATATTCCAGTCATTTGCACATTATCGCAATCACAGGTAAGTGTACAGAGAAAGTGCTTGGCCAAGCAGACATTAAACTCCAGGTATTTTGGAAACTGGGACATTTCTGTGTGTGTGTATGTATTTCTATGTGCGTAGTGGTATTATGGTTCTGATTAACGGATCCTGCTGAGAGCGAATAAGAAGCAGCACTTAGCTGTTTAAGACAGGGTTCAAAGGTTAGCCGGTGCCCTCATATGGATCACTTTACACACACACTCACTCACACACACACACACACCTACACGTGTGCACACACGCACACTCACTCACATAGACACACACGAGCCACTTTCATGTCACGTTTCATGCTTTACTGAAATTTAACAAGGCTGTCAGTCACGACATCAACAGCATGGCCGTGAGAAACTGCAATGCACATGTAACGCACATGCAGGGCTACATACAAATGTACACACGGCCCGCATGTGCGTATACACACGCATACGCACACGCGAATGGACACACACACACACAACCCTGGCTGTTTCTGCCTCAACATGATCTGTAAAAACACAAGCACACGCAGGCTTTGATCCTGAGAAACTTTTATCATTGCACACTTTCTCTGAGTGCTGACCTCTCTGAGTCTCTCACATCTCTCAATATTTCACCACTTTTATCTTTTCTCAATCGGACATACTTGTTCCGTGTTTAACACAATTCCATACATTTATTTATGTCTTTTAACATGTTTTTTTTCTGCTCAGTGCTACAACTTTTTTCACTTCCGTTAAATTTTATTAATAGACGCTGATCGTATTCACTACGCAGAATGGAATCCAAATCGAGACCCATTAAAATGACTTCTGCTATTGAGGAAAATTTGTTATGCAGCAATGAAGCTACAAAAAACACCAAGAGGTCACAAAGTCCTGCATTCAGATCATCATTCTTCCTCTTTCCGTATCTTGCAGTAAAAGACCCAATTTCATCTCTAATAACAAAATGAAGGGCCTCTAAGCGTACTCTTAGGTGGCCACAATGCCAGAAGGACCCATTTGTGTCATCTGAGCCACTTAAATAGGTGACCTTTGACCTAGTTGGCCGGGTGACCGGTCTGGAACACAACCTGCCTGGTCCAGGGACTCCCTGAGGGATAAATACAGGTACCCCAGGTAATTAGCACTAATAACAATGATTTATTTAAGGGAATTACACACTGCTATGTTTGTGTTGTCACTTATTAATAATATTAATCACCTAATGGTTGTAATGATAACACGAGGCCTGGTTTGATCCTAAGATAGAGTCATAAGCAGTAGAGTAGCAAGCAATAGTAGGTGCACGTCAGAAATAAGCAGGAGCAGTCGTAGTCCTGGTCCTCGATGTGTTTACGTGTTTTGTTCTTTTTTTTTCTCCCTGCTGTATTTTTATTTTAACAAGCTCACTCAAGTATCTAAAATGCGACAAGAAGGTGCATCAGCAAGGTTTGTGTTTGTGTTTCTGGCAAACTGTGAAAACACTGCACAGGAAGAGAAACAAGAGTAGAAAGGGACGAAGAAGAATAGCGCTATGTGTTTCTGGTAATAACCCAACCCATCTGCAATAGGACATCTGATATCATGCATAGATTGGCACACACACACACCACACACACACACACGCACACACACACACAAATGGTATATGAATGGTATACTAAAGAAACAAATCAGTTTTTTTCCGCTTGTGTTTAAGGAACATTTTCATTTGTAATCAAATTTCAAAAACATAATCTCTTTGCCATAAATGCAGCAATTCTACCGTTCAATAATTGCTATAATTTGAAATGGTTATGTATTGCTATAAATTGTTCATTTTTATGATGGAGGTATTTGTCAGATAAATTCAAGAACAGAGCTATAATCCTACATCATACCTCAAATGTCGAATATTTAGCATATTTAATAATGACAATTCAGAAAAAATAAATAAAAACCTTTGTCTATTTACATAAAATACAAGCATGAACAAGAAATTCCTTCTATTCATTTTACATAAAGTATTTTGATTTTT